AAGTGTGTCTGCCTTGTTGTACTTTGCTTTTCTCTTTCTGAATGTGGCCTATTTTTGAAATGTTATGACTTTAGCTCAGTGATCGAGTGACAAGTCTGACAAACAGAACTTACATCTGCAGAGTTTCTGTGGGGGAGAAAATGGAAGCACTCCAGAACGAAAGGAAGTAACCTCCATTTCACCTGGAAACATTAGTGTCCCAAGGGCAGGCAATTGGGGCTGTACAGAAAAAAAGGAAAGGAAAGTAGCCAAGACACAGAGGCAAACATGCCTCCAGGAATATAGCCAGCATCAAAGAGCTGAAAACAGTATCTGGGGCTTCCAATGTGCCCCTCTAAGTTGTACTGAGGAGCCTGTGAGAAGAAAGACCAGGAAGTTGGATTGCAGCATCTGTGTTTTAGCTGGGCCTCTACCTCCAGTCTGTCCATGTCCAGTGCTCAGTGTGCACTTGTGGCTGATTACATACTCGTGAAAGCTCCATTCCTTTCTCTTGCTCAAGACCCCAGTTCCTGTTTCTCCACAAGATCAGGTTAAATCTCTGTGTGCCCGCATGGCCTTCTCCAGGCTAGCTATTTACTCTTCCAACCTCATCTTCTGTTATTCTCCAACAGCGCAGACTCACTCCATGGTCTCATTCTTCAAGATTTAGCATAATTCCTACCTACCTTCTCTATGTTCTGATAACACAAACCCACACTGAGGGCCCCCCCCCCCCCCACCCTTTTGAAGACTTTAGCCCTTTTTTCTAACTTTTGCTAAGGATGTTTTGTTGTTACTTCACTGAAAACAACTATTATCAATAACATACACATGTACATAACAACTATATGCATATATATTATGTAGTATATATAGTATCTGTCTATTTCTCTCTCTCTCTCTCTCTCTGTTAATTTGAGCAGGAGCAAAATGAACCCTAGAGGTTAGTTTATGTAGACTGGGTTGTGTTTGTATTGATATTTATCAGCATCATTAAGAGAAACAAAAAAGAGCAATAATAAATATTTCTTCAAGCTTCCTCTTTTGAGAATTTCTTTTTTTTTTTGGTCGGTCGTGGGGCTTGAACTCTGGGCCTGGGTGCTGTCCCTCAGCTCTTTAGCTCAAGGCGAGCGCTCTACCACTTGAGCTACAGCGCTACTTCTGGTTTTCTGGTGGTTTATTGGAGATAGGAGTCTCACAGTCTCTCCTGCCTGGGCTGGCTTTGAACCGCGATCCTCAGATCTCAGCCTCCTGAGTAGCTAGGATTATAGGTGTGAACCACCAGTGCCTGGCCTTGAGAAATTGTTAAAGGTTTTATTTCCTGTTGTTATTTTGGTTATTTTTGTAAAATTATAAATTATTCAGTTCACAAGAAGTGATTTCATGTTAATTAACATTATGTATAGCCTTTATAGAGTATATATGTATATATAACTACTATGTACTATAAATATACACACATTGTAGACATTATATGCTAGATATGGTAGTTTTATCCTTAGTAGGTCATATGGTATATAGTATTTCTTCTTAGGGGCTATATTCAAACTGAGATTGAAAGCTTGACATTATACTGTGTAATATTATATTAAACATGGCACTAAGAAAAAGTACCAGTCTAGAGAGTCAGATTGTAGAGTTAACTCTGTTATTGATAGGTAAGTCATTTGCCTCCCTCACAGCTCCCAACAGGATTCATTTTTCCATAACTACCAAGATATCATCAAGGTGTCACTATAGATGTTTATGATAATCTTCATAGTAAGCCTCAAATCCCACCAAGCAACTGTGGTGGACGTATGGTGCATTTTTATTAGTCTCAGAGGTGTATCAGTTCAGGAAGTGGACTATTTTCTGTCTGCATAGAGTAGACTTCTGACTTACAGAAAAACTGTATGACATTTTTAAGGTTGCTCAATTGTAGCAAGACCAAGTCAGGCTCAGTTTGATTTCTCTTTCTCCTCTTGGTGACATCTCTCTCAATAAGAAGGACTGTCTAATTGAGAGATGGTTTGAGTGGATTATCATTCTAATCTGGCTGATTTGCTCTATAATTCAAAAGGAAAACCTCCCAGATCTTTATTTATCCCCTTTGTAGGATGGATATAAATATATTTGTCTTTGAAGGTGTTTGAGCTCAAAGTCAGTAAAATATTTCTACTTTAGTACTCACTGGGCTTCTGAAGGTCCATTGTATATGTTATCAAAATTGTGTATATTATGCAGTCGAATTAGCATATCTTGTAAAAAAGGTTATGATAGCCCTATTTTATCAATGAGGAATCGGTAACGGGGATTTAATCCTAGATGAGCCAGAGATGATGGCATTGATCTCCTTACTATGGTAAATACAGAGAACATAGGCCATTGCCTCCAGATTTCAACTGAACTGATACTATCAGTTCATCATTTCCTTTTTGCCTTATCTCCTGTGAGTAACTGGTAGTAAAGTTGACTTTCCTGGACTTCATTTTCCCTTGGATTAGCTATCCTCCAATGAAACTAGATCCAATGGGTAACATTAAAGAGCAAAGAAGGAGCCGGGCGCTGGTGGCTCATGCCTGTAATCCTAGCTACTCAGGAGGCTGAGATCTGAGGATCACGGTTCAAAGCCAGCCCAGGCAGGAGAGACCGTGAGACTCCTATCTCCAATAAACCACCAGAAAAACCGGAAGTGGCACTGTAGCTCAAGTGGTAGAGCGCTCGCCTTGAGCTGAAGAGCTGAGGGACAGCGCCCAGGCCCAGAGTTCAAGCCCCATGACCGACCAAAACAAAAAAAAAAGAGCAAAGAAGGGCTATGGAGAACCTCAGAAAAGGAAGGAGCAACAATGGGGGTGGATGTTCTTCAAACCGGGCAGTTGGCCCCTATGCCCATTGTATGGTTGATGATAGGTGCTGTTCTCATTTTGGAAGAGGTTAGGTAATAAATTAATTTCCCCCATTTTCTGATTAAATGTGTTTTATTTTCATCATGTTTAAGCCTGCAGTTAACAAGTAGCTACTTGGAGAGAGTGTGTGTTACTGTTACTTGGAATTTTATGCTTTTTCTGCATTAGGAAAATAATTGGAATTATTTAAAATTTTGATTATGCAGCATATCTTGTAGGAAACATTTTTTCCTTCCTTATTTATTTACTTACTTATTTATAGGTAGAGAGCCTTGCAAAGTACTCCAGGCTATTCTCAAACTCCTCATTCAGTGCTTGGATTATAGGCAGACACCACCACACCAGAGTAAGAAACACTTTCAGATATGCAGCCCTGCCTCATTCTCTAATTTAAAAGAATGTTTACAAAGATCTATTGTTTGTTAAAAATTTTCTTTAAATAATTTTACAAAGGGATTTCAGTTCAACACATTCATTTATGTGCACAATGCCTCTTGACCAGTGCTGTTACATTTATGTGCACAATGCCTCTTGACCAGTGCTGTTACATTTATGTGCACAATGCCTCTTGACCAGTGCTGTTACATTTATGTGCACAATGCCTCTTGACCAGTGCTGTTACCTCTTCCGTCGCTCTTCTGCACTTTCATCTATCCCAATGCCACGCATTCCCTCAAGTTTCCTAGTCACACTGAGGGCTCAGTATTCTGTACAGTGATACTTAAGGGAACAAGGTTTTGGTTTTATGATCGTCATTATCTTCCTACAATGGAATGCACTTCTCCCCACGTGAGTGATCTATATTCAGGAAGCAGTTAATGACATCCTTGTAATGGATCACACAGCAGGACCCACATGAACAGAGCTAACAAAGTATCGGTCATTAAACCTAGTAACTCGGATACATTTTTTATTATCCTTTTGCAAAGATGCAAGTGCTGCCGCCCACAAAAACCAGTTGTTTCCTAATGAAGTGTTTCGGCTTGTTCATCTGGGCTGATGGTTTCATATGGTCAGGATATTGCCGCATCAGCGATGAGCTGCTAATAACAGGCTTTAATGACACTGTATTCAGAGTTGCTCAAGTATGGACAGCTGTTTGGGAAAAATCATGATTCCCTTTTGGCTACTGAATGATTCCCAATATCCATTTTTTTAAAATTATAATACAAGATGCTTTCATTTTCAATTTTGACCCAATTGAACTAGAAAAAGACAAGCAACATTGCAGAGTGTATAATGCAATACTGGAGCATCTTCCGGAGGCCTCTGGGTTGCCATTGACTGTAGTTCTTGAGCTCACTGACAACCCTTGTTATTCTGCTTAGCTTTCAAAATCTCCTTCCCAGTAAAGAACCTGCAGCTCTGACAAAGGGAAGGTAGAGTGCATAGTCAGTGGTTTTAGCCCAAATCAAATGAATGGTTTCGTTAGGGGAGTTTTCTAGGGATGAGGGTTGGGAAGATAGCCATAGCAGGATGGAGTAGGTAATCCAAACTAGATGCGATAAATCCCACTACATATAGAACATGTAGTGGGATTTATTTCCAAATGGATAGTGTGTCTGATACCACTACCATACTTTGTAGTGGGCTGGAAGGAATAATTGAATTGTATTTTTCAAATTATGAAGATGATACTTTAGGACCTGTGATATGGGTTCAGATAGGTTTGATCTTATTTCTTAAAACCCTAGACCCTCAGGAATCAATAGGAAGGTTGGGTATCCTTCCTTCCTTCCTTCCTTCCTTCCTTCTTTCTTTTTCTTTCTTTCTTTCTTTTCCCTCCCTCCCTCCCTCCTTCCCTCCCTCCCTCCCTCCCTCCCTCCCTTCCTCCTTCCCTTCTCCCTTCCTCCCTCTCCTCCTTCCTTCCTCACAGATGGTGTGTTTACTTACTACTAAGAAATGTTTGGAAGCTTGGCCTCTTACATTTTGAATCAAATGCATCCTCCCACTACCTTTACTGGTACATATCTCAGGTAACAAATTACCATCTTGCTCCCCCTAGTGGAAATGGAACTCGACTTCTGAGTTTGAGAACAATGCATCACTAGTATTCAATTTAGTGTCTTGTTTTTTGAAATCAAGACTATTTCCATTTTTCCCTCAATGAGTGAGAATAAAAATGAAAAAGATGTTATCTTTTTGGCAGCACATACACTAAAATTGGAACGATGCAGAGAAGATTGGCATGGACCTTGTGCAGGGATGACATGTAAATTAGTGACACATTCCCTATTTAAAACAGAAAAAAAAATACATTGCATGGGCTAGCAAGGAAGATGGTAGAGAAATGAATTTCTGCTGATAAGATTTTGTTTCCCAGTCTTGGTGGAGTTGCTACAAAATTTCTAATGGCTATCAAATACAAGGAGCCTTTCTGCTCTGCACTTCTTTGAAAGGTCAAGTGTCATCAGGTTGGCAGATAACAATTTCTCAGTGTTGCTGTCCACATGCCTGGGAAAGATGGAAAGGCTAGTGGTTGGTGATACTGGAAGACAAGTTCGTTCAAATACATCCCACTTGTGCCACGGGTAAATTAGTCCCAGGAAATACTCTTCTGCCTTCTGAGTCTACTCAAAAATCAGTGCCAACATTCACAGCACATGACAGTCAGTACTGGTCTACAGCTGCTAAGCATGCTGTAACTAAAACCAATTAATATACTTAAAAAGTATAGTGCCTCTCTTAAGCTTCTCCCTTCTTTTTCCTGCTACTTCATTTTTTACAATTTAGACCCCCTCATTTACTGAATTTTCATTCTACTACAATTACATACAACACTCCCCCATATCATATATACTAGTGCTGAAATGTGTAAACTTCAAAAAGAAATACAGCAGTACCTGATTGTCTACAGGGAATAGAATCTAAAGCCCACAATGGTGCATAGTAAACCATGCATAGTATCAAACTCTGTTGTTTTTTTTTTTTTTTGTTGTTGTTGTTGGGTCCGGTCGTGGGGCCTGAACTCTGGGCCTGGGCGCTTCAGCTCAAGGCTAGCGCTCTACCACTTGAGCCACGGCGCCACTTCCGGCTTTTTTCTTTTTGCTTATGTGGTGCTGAGGAATCGAACCCAGGGCCTCAGGCATGCAAGGCAAACGCTCTACCACTGAGCCACTTTCCCAGCCCAGTATCAAACTCTGTATCCATTACACTTTTTAAAATCATAAGCATAGGTAGTCATTTATAATAAAATTTAATAAAAATTAGGCACAGTAAGAGATTAACTATAGCAACAGATAGTAAAATACATTATTATAATGATATAGTAAAGTTTCCAGCATAGCCAGGAGCTTGTAGCTCATGCCTATAATCCTAGCTACTCAGGAGGCTGAGATCTGAGGATCATGGTTTGAAGCCAGCCAGGGTAGGAAAGTCCATGAGACTCTTACTACCAATAAACTACTCAGAAAAAGCTGGAAGTAGCACTGTGGCCCAAGTGGTTGAGCACTAGCCTTGAGCAAAAGAAGCTCAGGGACAGAGACCAGGCCCAGAGTTCAAGCCCCCGGACTGGCAAAACAAACAAAAACAAAAAAAAAATACAAAAAAACCCTCCAGCTACACTACACTACTTTTGTGACTTGGGGCCATTATAAGTGAAGGACAGTTGAATGTGGGCGCTGCAATGCCAGTGCATCTGGTTACAGAGACGTCTGCTGAGCGACTAACAAACAGGTCACATGTACATTAAGTATATATTGGACAGTAGGAGGATGACATCCCAGGTATACCAGTGCATAATTTAAACCTCCTGAATTATTTATTCTGGAATTTTGCTGTTTAATATTTCTGGGCTATAGTCCATTGCAATTGACCAAAATCCATGAACAGCAAACCATAGATAAGGGGTAGTACTCTACCCATGAATACCAAGTCAGGCTTTGCTTTTAAGATTTATCAATTAGACCAGAGTTCAAGCCCCATGACCGACAAAAAAAAAAAACAAAACAAAACAAAAAAAAAACCCATGTACAAATAAAAAAAAAAAAAAAAAAGATTTATCAATTAGAATGGCTATAATCAAGAACTCTAATAACAACAGATGCTGGAGGGGATATGGACAGAAGGGAACCTTATGCATTGTTGGTGGGAATGTAAACTTGTTCAACCACTTTGGAAAGCAGTATGGAGGTTCCTCAAAAGACTCCACATAGAGCTCCCCTATGACCCAGCAATCCCACTTTTGGGCATTTACCCAAATGATCACAAACAAGACCACACTAAAGCTACCAGCACAACTATGTTTATTGCAGCATTATTTAACGTAGCTAAGATATGGAACCAACCCAGATGCCCCTCAGTAGATGAATGGATCAAGAAAATGTGGTATATATCCCCAATGGAATTCTATGCCTCCATCAGAAAGAATGACATTGCCCCATTTGTTACGAAATGGAAAGACTTGGAAAAAAATTATATTAAGTGAAGTAAGCCAGGCCCAAAGAAACATAGGTCCCATGGTTTCCCTTATTTGCAATAACTAGTATATGTCTGAGTCAAGCAGAAAAGGTCAGATAAGTTGATGTTAGGGGAATGAACCCCAAGACAAGTATTCAAATGTTTTTTTTTTCTTTCATGCAATTGTTTCTAACATACTTATAAGATGATTTCTATGTTGCTTTATATGTCCCTAACTAGGGATACAGGTGGACCCATTGCAACAATGAGATGTACAAGTCGTTATGTCGAAAAACGAATTTTACAACTTTGGTGGAGGATGGAGGGAGGATCGGGTTGGGGGAGGGGAGGAGTATGGGAAGGGATGGGAAAAGGAAACAAAGAGGAGGCAACAATGCTTGATAAGAAATGTACTTGTTATCTTGCCCATGTAATTGTAACTCCTCTGCACAGTATTCTCACAATAAAAAAAAAAAAGATTTATCAAGGTTAAAGAGAAAGTGGCAAAAGTTCTAATGGTTGCCAGATTCATGGATAATAGAATACAAGTTCTTGACACTTGTGAACAAATATAATTAGACTATCTCCCTTTTTTTTTTTTTTTTTTAGCTATCTTCCCTTTTTAGAGATATAGACTAGCTCCCTTTTTAAAGATAATGTAATGGAGACAGATAGCTATATCGTTTTTCCAAGTATTTATCTCAGGTTACCTGGGGAACAAAAGAAAGCAGCAAGACTGGATGAAAATCCTGACAAAGGGAATGCCAAAGTGCTCTCTGGTCATATCTTACTTGTGAAGTGGAGGGAGAAACGAACAATTCATAATATTAACAAAATAAAAGAAAACAAAACTGAACTGTTGTATGGCTCAAGTGATAGAGCACTTGCTTTACAAGTACAATGGCCTGAGTTCAAACTCTAGTGCAATCAGTCACTCAGCCAATCAACCAACCAACCAACCAATCAATCAAATCACAACGTTCTCCAGAGTCTTGGTAATGTAGTCCAAGAATTGTGTCCGTGCAAGCACACAACTTTTGGTTCAGCAAAGTGTTATCTGTGAAGGTCTGGTTCAGAGTTTCATGCTGCTTGCTTCCCAAGTGTGAGGATGGTGGTGGTGTGTTGTCCACAAATGGCACACTGGACTCATGCCTTTCTATGCTTTCACGGGGAGGGGTGTAGCTGAGTCCCCACACATCTCCTCGTGTGCACACACGTAGACATGTATTTGTGCAATGCGTTCACATGCCCTGGTGGGTATGTGAGCGCGTGCTGCGGCCACCGCACTGCAGAAAGAACAGCAGCTCACTGTCGGTTCGCATGTTGACAGCGAGCTAACAAAACTGCTTTGAGCAGAGATGGTCTCAAGGGGATGAGAAGCTCCGTGCACCTCTCTTCTTGCTCAGGGACTGCGCTGGCATCCTTCCCTGGCAGCTGCAGCAGGGTAGCTCTCCTTGGGAACATTCCAGCCAGATTGGAGGCTTGCCTTCCTTGAGAAGCAGGAGGACCTGATGAATGTTACAGAGGATCTCTCCACATTCCTTTCGCTCAGGAGGGAGAGGCTTTGTACATCTTGCTGTGTTCCCTCCAAGTGACTAACTGGTGGTGCATGCACGCCAGGGCTGGGCTTGTGCCTTGGAACCTTTACTTCTCAACTTTTCGTTGATTGATCTCTGTTGATTTAATACTAAAAGCCTGCCAGACTCTGCCTCTACATGTCATCCTATGGCTATTGGCATTAAATTTTTTTTTTCTCTTTAACAAGGCAGAAATGCATACACGGGTGCTTGGCCATGGGCACAAAGGCAGGATTATGGAAAGATAAACACAGTTGACCTGGAGACTGGGTTAGGAGGCAGTTAACAAGAATGTGAAAAGATGGTCCTGTATTGAGACAGAATAACCAGCTAAGACTGAGCTAACAGAAAACAGAGTAACCAGCTCAGACAGAACCAATAGAAGACAGTAAAACCAGCTCAGACTGAACCAATAGAAGAGCAACCAGTTAAGACTGAACCATGAGAAACTTTTCTTTTTGTTTTATTCAAGACACCTTTCTTGCTACTTAGCTGTTGGCACTAGACCTTGGCACAGAGTGCAACTTAGAGCATAAGGGAAAAATATGTATGTTTGTCCATTTGCTGAAACCTTGTATGATAGGGCGCAATGGACAAATTTTGAGCATGTTGTAATATTCATCTGCAATTTAACATGTTTTACATAGTGTTTCCTCAAGAAATTGTGGTTACACCTTACTGAGAATATTGATATTGGTCCCCCAAACTAACAATACACATTATCCAAACCCATAATTAACACATCAAGAAAGTAAGAAGGAAAAGTAAGATTTTTCAGGGAAAAATGAATACTTAAGATTCCCAAGTACATAGCACAGGGAGAAATCAAATAGATGATGATAACATCTTAGGCTGATGTTTGCCATGTTTTCCTAAGAATTAAGTGGTAATTTATTGGAAATCCCCAATTCAGATGTGCTATAAATCAATATTCTTAGGAAAGTTATCTGGGAATTATCTATCTATCATCTATCTATCTATCTATCTATCTATCTATCTATCTATCTATCTATCTATCTATCTACTTAGCTACCTACCTACCTACTTATCTGTTCTGTTTGTGTTTATGTGTGTGTATGTTTGAGCATGTCCGCACTGGAGCTTGAACTCAGGGCTTTATACTCTCACTTGGCTTTTTTGCTGAAGACTGGCACTCTCCCACTCGAGCCTTAGCTCCACTCCAGCTTTTGCTGGTTAAATGGAGAAAAGAGTTTCATAGATATTTCTGCCCAGTTGGTTTTGTACTTCGATCCTCAGATCTCAGCTTCCTGAGTAGCTAGGATTATAGATGTGAGCCACCAATACTCTGGTAAAATTAGTTTGATAAACATCTTGGTGATTTTTGTGGTGAAACAAATTTGGGCAGCTGCCATTACCTAAGTGGCTCACTAGGACTTACATGTGCCCAAAAGTTGTAAGTAGGTGTGTGTGTGTGTGTGTGTGTGTGTGTGTATGTGTGTGTAAGGATTTTGAAGTTTGGGAAACTTCAACATGTTGAACATTTGTGTAAGGTTGTATGCTCACAGAAGTTTTCTGAACTATCTTACTTGATCCTAGCAGTCCTGTAGGGGGCTGCTCACCCCAGACTATACATGGGGAAATGGGCTCACTGTGGCAGGATATAGTGGAGCTGACTGTGAACAGGCTCCTTTACCAGGTGCGGGGAGTCCCACTTCAGTCTTCATGCCCACTACCTGCCCCTTTTCACCCCACACTCCAGTCACCAGATTTGATGATTGGGTCTAACACAGCAGCTTCTTGGCATAGCCACACCTTTGCATCCTCCACTCCCTCTGCCTGGAATACCCTTTTACAGACATTGCACACCTGCGCTGTGACCCTCTCCTCCTGCCCCAGAACAGTGTGTTGCTCTTCCAGCTGTGTTTTCCTTTATAGATCCTTCTGCTATGAGGTCTCTGTAATATAAATGGGTTCAGTAACAAGTCAGAAGTGGCCTCTTGCTCCTTGCTCCTTAACCTGCTGTCACCCCACTTAAGTCAGCAATGGATGTAATCTGTTACATGTTAATAACCCCTCACCAGATATAACTAGGTTATATGACTTATTTTATTTGTCCATTGATAATTGTTAAACTCCTTACTGTAGATCTGGAGTGTGTGTGTGTGTGTGTGTGTATGTGTATGCACAAACATACCAGTCTTAGGCCTTGAACTCAGGGCCTGGGAGCTGTCCCTGAAGTTTTTAAAAAAAAATTTTTTTTTAAAGGCTAGCTAGTTGAGCCACAGCTCCACTTCTGGCTTTTTGGTGGTTAATTAGAAATAAGACTCTTACAGACTTTCCTCCCTGGGCTGGCTTTGAACTGTGATCCTCAAATCTCAGTCTCCTTAGTAGCCAGGATTACAGGCGTGAGCCACTGGTACCTGGTTTGCAGGTCTGAATGTGATCAAATGTATTAATGTGGTTTTCATTCCCATTTTGTGTTGCAGCCACCGCTGGTTCAGGCAATCTTCAGTGGTGATCCAGAGGAGATAAGGATGCTCATCCATAAAACCGAAGATGTGAATGCCTTGGTAAGCAGTGCTGAGGCTTTGCTGCCCAGGCCTTTTCACATGGGCAAACCAGATGCTTAACTTTTTCAATACTGTAGAACCCTTCAGAAGACAGTGAAAGCTTTGGACTACCTCTTAAAATACTGCTTGTAAATCCATGCAATAAAATACAGAGGGTTAGAAAGGCAACCAGTTATACTGAACGACATTGCCAAATGTTAAAAATCAAATCTGAGATATAGTAATATATATCTATATATATCTATATATCTATTTCTTTTTTTTTAATCAGTCGTGGGGCTTAAACTCTAGGCTTGGGCGCTGTCCCTCAGCTCTTCAGCCCAAGGCGAGCGCTCTACCGCTTGAGCCACAGCGCCGCTTCTGGTTTTCTAGTGGTTAATTGGAGATAAGAGTCTCACAGATTTTCCTGCCTGGGCTGGCTTTGAACCGTGATCCTCAGATCTCAGCCTCCTGATAGCTAGGATTACAGGTGTGAGCCATCAGCGCCTGGCAATATATATTTCTTATTTTATCAACACGTTTGAAAAGGTTATAGCAGAAGATATGTTAATGACCATGATAGAAAAAGAGCAGCATCAGTACTTGGGGATATCTGCCATACTTCTTTATGTGATTCCTGCTGTGGTTTGGAGTATGCATTCATAACTAGAGGAAAGAGTGCTAAACCTCAGTGAACAGTCCCAGTGAAAGTAAAACTGCATTGCCTTTCTTTTCCAGGGTAAGGAACCTAGGTTCTACAACATGGATTAGAAATTTATGTTCTATCACCTGCTTGCTTATGGGCTGCCAGCTATGTTGGGTTTTATCTATTTACTTATAGATTTTATGTTTTCAGCTTTTTAAGACAGGGTTTTGCTATGGAGCTTAGGCTGGTCTTGAACTCATAATCCTCTTGCTTCAGTCATCGAAATGCTGGGATTGCAGGTGTATAACACGGTGCCCAGCTTTTTTTTTTTTTTTTTAATATGAAAGAAAAGACAAGAGATATGTGGAAGCTAAAATACACTGGGATGTGAGAAATTACACAGGACTCTGGGCACTCACACACAGTGAAACCAAAGAGGCTACTCTTAGGAGAGGAACACAAAGGTGAAATAGCTATGTGCGTTTGATCATATAAAATAATATTTATTGAAATAAACTCCAGGAAATGGACACAAGAGGTTTTCTTCTTTGTTGCAGTTTTTGTTTTTTCTTTCCTTTTTGTCTTGTTTATTCATTTATCTGTCTTTGGGAGGGTTAAGAGGGGGACAGAAATGGAGGGACAAAGCATGGACAAATGCAATAGTGGCACTCACTAGACTCTATGTTAAAAATGAATTATACAACTTGTGCGTGGGGACAAGGGGGAAAAACTGGGAGAGTGAGGGAAGGGGTGACATTTTCCAAAAAGAAATGTACTCATTACCTGACTTACATAACTGTCACCCAGTTGCACATCACCTTTATAATAACAATAAAAAAACTCCAAAAATATAAGAGAAAAATAATAGTTTGTGATGTGATGTGAATATGAAATTTAGATACCCGTGACTCTAAGTTTTGTGGGACACAGCCATGCCTGTCATTTACATGTTACATGATTTTGCACTGTAGCAGTTGAACTGAAATAGTGGAGAAAAGAGCCTCTGTTGTGGCCTATGAAGTCCCAAATGTTTACTTTCTGGCTTTTATCGAAGCAGTGTTCTACTTCCTGCTGTGGGGGGGTGGTCCATCAACCTGGATGAGTGGTTGAACAAGGCAACTACAGGCCCTTGAACTGTGTGTAATAGATGCATGCACGTGTTCACCTTATATGTTTTTCTATGAAAAGGCTCAAGGTATTTCATCAGATTCTTTAAAGGGTTTGTCCCACCAAAAGATGAAAGAACCATAGAATCTGGAAGCTTTCCAAACAAACAAACCTGCACTAAACAAAGGCAAAAAGTGTTAGTGAATAATTTACCCTTTTAATCATTTCCACGATCTAGGTTGAACAAATAATTATGTGGAGTACATACTATTGATTCTTTTTATAAAATTTAATTTTATTGTAACGGTGATATAGAGAGGAATTACAGTTACATCAGTCAGGTAAAGAGTACATTTCCTTTTGAACAGTGCCAACCCTTCCCTACTCTCTCCTAGTTTTTCCTCTCCCTTCTCTCCTTCCCCCAAGTTGTATAGTTCATTTCCAACACTAGTGAGTATCACTGTTGAATTGGTTCACCCTTTGTCTCCCTGTTTCTGTGCTTTCCCTGCCCCTCCCCAAATCAGATAGACCTATATATAAAACAAAGGGTACAGAAATCAAATACAGTGACAAAAGAGAATAAACCAAAAAAAAAAAAAAAAGAGGAAAGAAAAAGAACTGCAAACAGTACAATAAAGACCTCTTGTTTCCATTTCTTGGAGGGCATTTTGATAAGCATGATTTTATATGATCATATGTGCATAACTTTTGAGCCTTTGTGATCCTCTCCTAAGAATATCCTCCTTTGGTCACACTGTGTGAATGTTTAGAGTGCTGTTTAATTAATCATGTCCAAGAGTAAATTATTTGTCTTTTACTATCCATTGTGTTTCCCTGTAGATTGATAGGCATATTCTAATTATTACAAATGAGGCTACTGATTCTTCTAATATTTGGTTATCAAAATACTCAAGTCCATTAGTGACAAGAGTCCTCTTTAGTCTTCGGTGTCAGCAGAAACAACAGAAAGGGTCAGGCACATCTTCAGTGGAAATGGGGCTTTGCCTTGAGAGATAAAGCCTGTCTAAGGTTGTATTTCTGGCTAGTGAGGGATGCTCTATTCGAAGGCAGGTCCGGTGGTGGAGCTATTGTTCTGTGGTGGTGTAGGTTGGTGTGACTTTTTGAAAAGGTTTCTGGCAGCTTCTCCCTGGCTGGCACTGCACACAAAAGGACAAGGTTTTGTGACATTTTTGCAAAGAAAGCACTGATAAAGCCAGGAACAGATAACTTGAGAAGGCAATTGGGCATTTGTCCAGGGTCTGTGGGGTGTGACCTGTATTTTGAGAGGAGCCCAGGTAAGCCAGCACACTGTTCAGTGTTCTGACATTATGAGAATTCACTCAGACTATTTGGTGGTTGTGGGCCCAGACCACAACCCTAGAACTTCTGCTCAGGGCTGGAGCACGGCTGAAAAGCTCTGTAGCACTTGTCTAGCCAGCTCAAGGCCCTGGACGACAACAACAACAACAAAAACAACAACCAAGAGTTAAGAACTTTTGTTCACCAAGAGATTGTACTAGTCACTTCTTCAAAAGCATCAAGCAGTTGCTGGCAGGTAAAGATTAGAATTGCTTAACTTAATTGTGACCCCGGTGCATCACTGAACTACTTGTCTAGGTTCGCCATTATAACATGGTCAACTAGGCTAGGTTAACATTGTAACATACCTCTGTGTCTAATGGATGTATGAGACAAGGAGTTAGTTCTCTTAGAAACCGTTTATACAAATGGTCTTATGCCTTATAGGGTCCCAGGTAAGACAATGTGGCATCTAAGGTCACTGGAGGGGCCATCTACAGTCCAGTTGGCCAGGAAGGAAACAAAGAGCTCAGAGAAAAAGTGTGGAAACATTTTTATGGGTTGGCTTGGAAGTGGTGTATCACATGGGCTCACATTCTATTGGTCAGCGATCTGTCATGTGGCTATACCCAGCCACAAGGGGGTATAGCTATGTGCCACTGAAGAATCAGAAAATATGGACTTTGTCGAGTAATCAGTAATTTTGACCACACTGATTCCTGGTCTTACATTATTTTAAGGAATACAAATAATTTCACATATCTGTCTGTGGGGTGTCTTGTTCACTTACAGTTGAGTACTGAGCGTCGATTCTGTGCTAAGGGCCAGGAATATCATAGAGAGAAGATAGTGCTTTCCCTTATGGCAGACCTATCCTCTCAGTCAGATGTTTATAAAGGAGATCATCTGATCCATGTTTACTGGGCATGTTGACTGTGTTGAACTGTCTCCCGTTGTCCAGCTCTGATGGATGGATAAGACAGGGGTTTAGTTCTGTTTGGAACATCTCCAACATTCCGAAGGTTAACTGGTTGTAGATGGACTAGGTCATTTAGGAGAAATGGCATAGATTGATGGGTGATGACACTTAAAGATTGGAACTCTAAGCCTCCAGGTGAGTTTCTGGAGGAAGGCAAAATAGTTAACAAGTCCATTTATTTGTTTTTTTTGTTTTGTTTTGTTTTGTTTTTGGGTCTGGTCGTGGGGCCTGAACTCTGGGCCTGGGCACTGTCCCTCAGCTCTTCAGCTCAAGGCTAGTGCTCTACCACTTGAGCCACAGTGCCACTTCCAGCTTTTTTCTTTTTGCTTATGTGGTGCTGGGGAATCGAACCCAGGGCCTCAGGCATGCAAGGCAAGCGCTCTACCACTGAGCCACCTTCCCAGCCCCTTAACAAGTCCATTTAAATGACAAGGAAGGGAAAGATATGGTGAAGGAGACACCTGTAACTTAGAAGACAATATTTATCTTCTTCCTTCTCAGCCTTTACTTTTCTTTCTTTACCTCAGTACATTCACTTAGATTTTCTTTTTTTTGAGGAGAGGGAGGTAGTGGGGATTGGAATAAAGGCATTACGCATGCAGAGCTGTACCACTAATCTACACTTGTGACTCCTCAACTATTCTTTTCTAACTCAGGACCTAATTTTTTTCCTTCCTTCTCTCATACTTCTGTGTGTCTTTTCATGTCTAGCGTTTTTGGTTTTGGTGCTATATCACTCTTTGGTTAGTAAATTTACAGCTAGGAAGCTCTCTACACAACCACTAGACTGATAAAGATGATCTATAGGAGCACAGATGTTGTGCCCTTGACCAACATTACTAACTTTTCACATCTTTTACCTTCTTTTGAATGTTTGTCATCACAATTTCTCCTCAATGTAAGACTAGTAAATTGAAGTTGAGAAGTAAATTGAACCTTTCTTCCCATACATGAACTAGTACATGGACTAGGTGATCTATAAAGGGTCTT